GAGATGCAGGCTTGTTTCCTCCCACAGGGCCTTGGACTGCCCTCCACGGGCAGGAGTCACGTTAAGAGGAGTGATTGAGTGGAAAGTAGGGAAAAAAGCAACAACAACTAGATTGTTTTTGGCATTTTAACATGGAGACAGTGATAAGTGGCAACAACAGTAAAAGAAAAGAAAACTTGAAGAGACCAATATTTAACTTTCCCAGCCATCCAAGTCTCACACTTAAGTTCTATTTCCATCTCCCCCATGAGTGCCACGGAACTAAATATCGATTTTAACTCACGCAAACCAGTCCAGAACTTCTGGAAACCAAGAGCCCCCGCCAGAGCTGTCACCTCTCTTGGGTCCTGGGGAGAAGAGGGTTCAGGGAAGGGCACGTTGTAACTCACTCAGTGCAATGCAAAGGGCAGCGGTGGTGAGCTCGAGCATGGGCACTTGACAGGGACCCTCTTGGCAATCACAGCATCCGTACTGACAGGTGAGGAAGGGCACTCTTCAGTAATTCCAACTGTTTGGTACCAGAGCCAAGCATATGTGACTAAAGGGAGCCAGGTCAACAGAACAATAAACGGAGTTTCAGGAACAGGACGGACCCTTCGAGGCGGGATCCAGGCCAGCGAGAAAAAGAGACCAAAGCACAAGGTGATCAAGGCTGCTACAAAAGGGCTGATTCTTCTTGCAAGGACTGGAGAATGCACTCGGCTGCTGGCTGATGGACCTCTAATTGGTGAGTATGCAAGACAAGGCCTGGCCCTGGCTCCACAGAAAGCCATGAAGCCGACTCAACTGATACAAATGTTTCCACTTCTGCCCCACTGCAAGTCCCCATGGTTCCTCCATCACCTGATTTTCATTTGGACTTCTTTTACAGCTAAAGTAGATACAAACGGCTAAACACAAACCCCCAACCCTACCCCCCACCAGGGGGGACACAGTCACAGCTAGAAGGCTGTGGGTGTATAGGCAGCCAAATGGAGAAGCAGAACTGACACTGGCCTCGGCTGATGTGTCAGAAAAAGTGATAAAGGAGTGTCACGGATGCTTCTGAAGCATGTGAGCATGATTTTGGATGGAGGCGGGCCGGCAGGGACTGACTTCGCCTAGCTACTGCTACTTCCTGTAAGGGACGTTTTCTTTTTCTGAGTAAATGATGATTTGTCTGCCATGTAGCATCCATCTGGATCACGATGCTGATTATATCTGGAAAGCGGTGTTTGGGGGAGTGTATTTAGGAGATGAAGAAAGAAAAAACTTTAGAACAACCTAGATTGCTCCAAGTTCTCAAAGTTTCTGTCTCTTTTCAGGAATGGTAAGTCAACTATAAGCAAATACTCTAATTCAATATTAAGAGGAAGAAAAACATACTTTGGAAAGCATACAGAAAAAAGGTGAATAATGCTGGTTTACTTATAAAATGGAACCTCAGGGAGTCTACATAAAAATGCACCTCCAGTCAACTTTTTTTTTTTTTTTTTTTTTTTTTTTTTTTTGAGATGGAGTTTTACTCTTGTCACCCAAGCTGGTGCAATGGCATGATCTTGGCTCACTGCAACCCCCGCCTTCCAGGTTCAAGTGATTCTCCTGTCTCAGTCTCCCAAGTAGCTGGGATTACAGGTGCCCACCACCATGCCCAACGAATTTTTTGTATTTTTGGTAGAGAAAGGGTTTCACCACATTGGTCAGGCTGGTCTCAAACTCCTGACCTCAGGTGATCCATCTGCTTTTGCCTACCAAAGTGCTGGTATTACAGGCATGAACCACCGTGCCTGGCAACTTCTGCTTTAATTCCTTGTTTGACTTCACATCCCAGTGCACATGGAAAGGACAGCTGCCAGGAGAGGTGTGGAGTTGGAGGAGTCCCCGGGAGCATCAGAGGATTTGGGGGTTGTATTCTGGCAGTTTCTTGATCTTCTCTTTCTCAGTCTCACTTTCGTCTCCAACACTTTGATCACCAAGGAGTGTGAGTAGCCCATGGCAACCTGCTCTGAGAAAATGACATCCAGAGTCTTCACCTCCTGGGTTGCACTGGAAGACTTGGGCTTGCTGTTTCTGTAGCCCAGTACCCTGAAGGTCGGGGATGGGTTCCAGCTGATGGTGCTCTCATCAGTGGCCACAGTGATGCTGCTCTTCCCACTAGCCAGGCTCCGCAGTCTTCAGCCACAGAGATCCTGCACTGCTTTCGGGTACATGGTAAATTTAGGGGAGGTGTTGGTGGCACCCCCAAAAAACAGACAGACCATCTACTTCACTGATGGCAAAGGAGCAGATATAACCAGCACAGATCTGGGAAGCCCCACGCCCAGAAAAGTCAAACAGCTTCACCAGGCAGGGGACCATCTCATACTGAATTCAGCCCCACAGGCCACTTTGGTAATTGGCTAGCCATTATACATTATCTGTGCGGGGCTGTGGACAGCGACTATTTGGTTGCCAAAGCCCAGCTTCCTGATCTTGTTCTCCCCAAGCCCAAACGCGGAGCCCATTTCCGTCAAGGTCATGGTGTGGTTCCGCCCACAGGCTGCAGACACAATCACTTTGTTGCTGAGACCCTCGATGAGTCTGGGGTTTTCTGCTCTCGGTGTCGCCATTTTCCAGCTGCCCCTTCTTTAAGGAATTTTAAAAAGCTAATCCCAGCACTTTGTGCAGGGCCAATAACTTACAGTGAAGGCCAGAAACTATGTATTCAGAGAGTTCCAGCTGAGCTGGGCTGGGGGTAACTCCTCTGAGAGAGTCCACTCCAGCATTCGTCCACCAAGTATTTATTGAAAGAGCTTGTATTAACTACAAACATCCACTAGATGGTAATTTGAGGTGGGTTGCTAAGGCACCTGTGACCTTGTACACATTCAAACTGCATTCTCCGAAGGCTGTTTTCAGCATTCCGTATCACACCACACACTCCACTCCCTGTCCTGTTTTCAGAGCCAAGGAGTTTCATTCTCATGCACAAATAACATACACAATGCTTCAGTATTTCTCCATGCCTGACATGAAATGCCATGTACATAAGCTTGAATATGTTGCTATGCACCCCCTACATCTCCCCTTTCTTTAATTCTTAGAGCATGCTAGTCATCCAATGCAAGGTAAGCTTCTATCGTTCTTCCATGTTTGTATATGCGTCGGATGGCAGCACAGGGCCATCTGCAGATACCTAGCAAACAGATCCAAAAAAGTGTAGCGGCCATAATCCACCAAATGTGTATGTTTAACTCAGACAACCAAGTGTTGGGGTTTAACCATTGAAAGCCTTCTTGTAATTGCTGAAGGGAACTTGTTTGTAATTGCTGCAACCATTCTTCAAGTTGTTTCTTTAATTCACACTTAAGAGTGGAAATTTGAGAAGACAAATAATTGTGATAAGCCCCCTGCAAGTGTGCTTTTCTAAATAACGACAAGATGGAAACTCCTTTCCAGCTTTGGGTTAAATTTACAGGCAGCTACAATTCTGCATGCTGTTTTAAAATCATGACATAGGTTATATTTAACTGTGTAACCTTTTGATGAGACAAGCATGTAGCATACCAGCTACTGGAAGAGACTTTAATACTATAAAAGGATTGATTTGGCTCTATGTTAGGAACACTTGCCCAAGCAGAAGTGTATAAGGGTATGTAGTACAAATCAAGACTGTATCAGTAACATTATTGTGCAAAAGGAGGACAGAGTTTCCACCACTAGTAATGTACTCACTATGTGAAAGAACTCTTTCAAGAAAAGGAAGTCTTAATTTCCAAATTTCTGTATGAGCAGGGCTTAAAACTCATTTCCATTTTAGTTGTAATATAGATCCTGAAAGCCCATACTCTGACCAGCTGATAGAACTACTGGAGGAATTCCCAAATTCAATTGTTTGATTTGCCCCCATGGGGTCCCCATCAAGTAAAGTGCCATTAACAAACAGAGGCCCTGACGTGGCACAGGTTGTCTGTGTGGAGACCACTAGACAGCCTCAAATTTATACCTTCAGTTCCTATTGGACAGCATAGAGGAAGATCGGGCACTTGTGTAGCTTTATAAGAAACCTCACTAAGATTAGTGGTAACAGCAGAAATAAAGCTCAAATTTGCAAGCTTAGATCCCTTTTGGGCTGATAGTACAGATACTCCTGAGGAATGAGAGTAACACACTTGTCGTGTGCTGCTGTGAAGAAACAAAGAGGGGGATTACTTGACATAAAGTCAAGGAGTCATTAAGTTTAATCCATCCCAAATTTTCAGTTAAAGGGTGAGACAGGGATATCCACTGACCTCCTGTCTAAGAAGTATTAGATGACAAAGGCAGGTCAGCATCCCACCAGCTAATAACATTAAAAACAAGGGGATTTATTGTTTCCTATGATCCATGTTAGAGGAAGTAAGAAAAAACAGAAGAAGAAAAAAGAAAGTAAAGAAAAACAAGGGGATTTAGAACATGACTCCAATAAACATGTTCTTAAGCTGATCCCACTTGGCATAGGACAAGAATTACCAGTCACGCTAACATCCATGCCTGTCTTACTTTCTCAGAAGTTTCCCCAATTACCGCCAGATACATAAGAAACCAGTTCTATGAAGTTGCAGGGGCTTCCACGGTGGCAAGCCGGATAGTTGCTTGTTGATCCAATTTCTTTAGCTGTCCTCAGGTAATGTCAGGTGACTTCCAAGTCATGACCATCATTGCTGGTCAATTCTCCAACAACAGGTCTTGGTCTGAAGGAGACAGCCCCATGTTTCCCTTTTTTGTTTATTAAGATATACGTTGAGTTTAAAATTTTTTAAATATTTTCTTTTTTCCATATCCACACATCTATTCTCTGACACTTTAAGAGTTTTAATGAATTCATTTAATAATGGCCTGACTGGTTGTTACAGGGGATGCCAGTTTTGTGTTGTATGTGTGAAATTTGCAATGCATATGTAAATTGAATGCTAAGATAGTAAGATCCATTATCAGTTTTTATAGTTTTTTGAAGGCTTAAAATTATAATAGATTCAAACAAATGAGCAATTGTGTGGGGAGCAGTAGCCATCTTGTAACTATGTTGCTTAAGCTTTTGTTCCTCTTACCTAAACCTCCATCTTGTGGGCTTCCCTTATTGTTTAAGTTTCACATTCCTCCTAGTTACAAGGCTAGCCTGCAGCCTCGTCTCCATGGTTACTCTCTGACCTCAGCCCTCAGAACTTCCCGCCCTTACTTGTTTATAAGCAACCGCCTTGTAGCTAATAAATGAGACTTGATCAGATCCTTGACTTGTCTCCATTCTCCGCCTCTCCTGTCTCTCTCTTTTAATCCCCACTCCCTCCCTAGGGTCTCCGTTGCTCATCCCGCGGGTCGGGACAAACTGGCGCCCAACGTGAGAGCTCGAGTACGAGGGACACAGTAAGGGACGCCGTCGAGGTCAGCCGGCACAGAAGGATTAAGAAATCTGGAGGAAAGAGCGTCGTGGGAACCTGCCATGGACTCGCGCTCCGGTAAGCGGACGGCGAATATGGGACAGGAAATCAGCCAGCATGAGTTCATAGAGAGTTTAAGAAAGGCTTTAAAGGCGCGGGGAGTAAAGGTGAAAATAAAACGATTGTGTAAATATTTTGACTATATTCAGGATGTCTGCCCTTGGTTTCCCCAGGAAGGACCCATAGACCAAAAACGGTGGAAAAGGGTAGGAGATGCTTTAAAAGATTATTACAGTGCTTTCGGACCCGAGGTCCCAGTCACAGCCTTTTCTTATTGGAACCTGATAGATGAAATTTTAACTCAGAGATGCCATGACCCCCTCATTGCCAATGTAATTACTCAGGGAGAGTCTCTCTTAAAGGGAGAACTCGATAAAAGCACCCTCAACAGTTCTAAGAGCCCAGGTGACTCTAAGCAATTGTCTGTAACTGATGAGGCGCAGTCGCCACAAGCTAATGAGGAGGATTTAATGTCCTCTGATAGTGACTCAAAGAAGGGGACGCCCGGCATTTAGTCTCACAATGCCAGGCTGAGACTAAAAATGCGCCTTCAGCAAAGACAAAAAGAGGGCCAAAGAGGGTGTCTGCCCAGGGGGCCCCCAACTCAGGATCTAGACACACCAAAAAGGAAAAGACCCCCTGGCTAATTGAAAGAGCAAATAATTCTGAAGATGAAGGCATTGAGGAGGGAATAGATTGGGATGACTTAGAAGAAGAGGTGGACCATTATAAAAACTCAGATTGTTTCCCCCATAGGCGGCGACCTCCGCCTTACAAGGCGGGGCCCTCAGCACCCCCAATGGCATGTCCCGTTATTGATCCCCGAAAAAGGTTACAAGAAAAAAATCGAGTACCTAAAAGAACAGGTTAGGCTTGAAACTGAGCATCAAGAGCTCATAGAACAGCTTGAAAAAATAAAAATAGGTAAAATAAAGAATGAGGCTAAAACTCAAGTTACCCAAAATGTCATACCTCCCCATAGGGGAGCGGCGTTAAGACAACCTCCTCAGCTTAACACCTTATTAGATTTAGAGGATTCAAGTGCATACCAGGTGACAGAAACCACTGACCAGCAGGGGACAGCTTGGAGGCATCATGCAGGTTTCGATTTTAAAATAATCAAAGAACTAAAAACTGCAGTAGCACAATACGGCGCTACTGCTCCGTACTCCACTGCGATTTTAGAATCAGTGGCCGAAAATTGGCTTACCCCAGGAGATTGGCAGACCTTGGCCTGAGCCACCCTTTCAGGGGGTGATTATTTGTTGTGGAAATCTGAGTTTTATGAATGTTGTAGGGAAACTGCCCGCTGCAACGCACAGGCTAATAATTGGAATTTTGACATGCTAGCTGGTGAAGGCAATTACGCTACCAGCGATGCACAAATGCAGTATGATGCGGGTCTGTATGCCCAAATTCAAACTGCGGGTACAAAGGCCTGGCGAAAGCTGCCTACAAAGGGGGATGTTAGTGCCTCCCTTACCAGCATAAAACAAGGGCCAGATGAACCTTTTTCAGAATTTGTACATCGCCTCATTACAGCGGCAGGCAGAATTTTTGGTAATGCAGATGCAGGCACAGATTTTGTTAAACAACTAGCATTTGAAAATGCTAATGCTGCCTGCCAAGCGGCTATCCGCCCTTATAAAAGGAAAACAGATCTCTCAGGGTATATACACCTGTGCTCAGACATAGGCTCTGCCTATCAACAGGGATTAGCTTTGGCTGCAGCCCTACAGGACTATACTGTGAAACAGTTCTTATCTAATAAGTCAAAAAATAGGTGCTTTCAATGTGGCGCCACTGGTCACTATGCTAAAGATTGTAATGCTGATTAAAAACCCTCCCTTAATACAAAAGTCCCTGGCTTATGTCCACGATGCAAGAGAGGGAAGCATTGGGCCAATGAATGTAAATCCAAAAGGGATGCCCAAGGGCAATCACTTTCTCTACATCAGGGAAACGTAATGAGGGGCCAGCCCCAGGCCCCCAAGCAAAAACAAATCTATGGGGCAGTCAGTTTTGTTCCTCCAACCAACAATCCGTTTCAAACCTCTGTCGAGCCACAACAGGAAGTGCAGGATTGGACCTCTGTTCCACCTCCCACACAGTATTAACACCTGAAATGGGGGTTCAAGCATTGCCCACAGGCGTCTTCGGGCCCCTGCCTGAGGGTTCTTTTGGACTTATTCTAGGACGAAGTGGCCTTACCCTACAAGGTCTACAAGTCCTCCCCGGAGTAATAGATAATGATTACACAGGAGAAATCAAAGGCGTGGTAACCTCCCCTAAAGTTATAAGTACTATCTCCCCTGGACAAAGATTTGCACAGCTCTTACTCTTACCTCTCCATAAAACCCATAATAGAGTTATAAAAAAGGACAGTCGGTTCCTCTGACGTCTATTGGGCAGAAGTGATATCTCCTGACAAGCCCATGATGACATTATGGCTAGATGGAAAGGAATTTACCGGACTAGTAGATACTGGAGCAGATGTGACTATAATTAACAAAACCCAGTGGCCTGCCACATGGCCAATAAGTGCTACTATTACTCATCTCACCAGTATTGGTCAGAGCAAAAATCCCGAGAAAAGTAAAAAATGTTAAAATGGGAAGATAAAAAGGGAAATCAAGCCCAAATCCAACCTTATATTGTTGCAGGATTACCCTTCAACCTTTGGGGAAGGGATTTGCTGGCTCAGATAGGTATAGTCATAGGTAGTCCTAATGAGATCATTACTGCCCAGATGCTTAAACACAGATATGTGCCCGGCACTGGGTTAGGAAAAACCCAAACTGGAATTTTAAACCCTATAGAATCTAAACCAAAAACAGACAAGAAAGGAGTAGGACATTTTCAGTAGGGGCCACGGTCTGTCCTGTAGCCCACACAGACAAAATTACTTGGTTATCAGACAACCCCGTATGGGTTGACCAACGGCCCCTCTCTTCAGAAAAATTAGCTGCCGCACAACAACTGGTACAGGAACAGTTGCGGGTGGGGCATATAGAACCTAGTAATTCTCCTTGGAATACACCAATCTTCGTTATTAGAAAAAAGTCAGGAAAATAGCGATTGCTACAGGATCTTAGAGAAGTCAACAAATCCATGGTCCTAATGGGGGCCCTACAACCTGGGCTCCCTTCTCCTGTCGCCATACCCCTAAACTACTATAAAATTGTTATTGATTTAAAGGACTGTTTCTTTACTATTCCATTACATCCAGATGATCAAAAACGTTTTGCTTTCAGTGTGCCTTCTACCAATTTTAAGGAACCTATGAAAAGATATCACTGGAAAGTGTTACCTCAAGGCATGGCTAATAGTCCAACCTTATGCCAGTCTTTTGTTGCCTAGCTATTCAACCTATTAGAGACACCTGGAAAGAGATCTATATTATCCATTATATGGATGATATTCTTTTAGCAGGAAAAGTTGGACAAGATGTTTTGTCTTGTTTTAAAGCCTTACAAATATCTCTTACTCAACATGGTCTGCTAATAGCTCCTGAAAAAGTGTAACTCACAGACCCCTATACGTACTTAGGCTTCCAACTAAAAGGAAGCCAAATTACTACGCAAAAGGTACAACTCAGGTTAGATAAACTGAAGACACTCAATGACTTTCAGAAGTTATTAGGAGATATTAATTGGCTACTACCTCATTTGAAACTATGCAAGGCAGATCTCAAAAAAAAGGCATATCTTAGAATATATGATATTCTAAATGGACACCCAAACACCACATCACCTTGCGAGTTAACCTCTCAGGGCATACATGCTATTTGAACTGTGGAACATGCCATCAATCATCAGACCATCACTTTTGTAGATTATAGCAAGCTGCTCCAATTTATTATTTGTCAAACCTCATTATCCCCTACCACTGTATTTTGGCAAACTGCTCCACTCATGTGGGTACACCTCCCTAACACGCCAAAAAGAGTTCTTGAATCATATTACCTTATGGTAGCAAATCTAATTATCCAAGGCTGAACAATGGGCAAGGAATATTTTGGTTATGAACCTTCCTTGATTATCCAGCCATACAGTAAAGAACAAGTTCAGTGGCTCATGCAAACTACTGAGGCTTGGCCTATAGCATTGGCTTCCTTTTCAGGACAATTAGACAACCACTATCCCCCTCATAAGTTGATTGCTTTTGCCAATAGACATGAATTTATCTTTCCAAAAGTCACAAAATCTGAGCCCATTTCCAGTGGACTCGTAGTGTTCACCAATGGTTCATCCACAGGTATAGCTGCCTATGTTAGTCAAGGCCATACCGTGCAGTTTCAAACTCAATCATCCTCGGCTCAGCTTACTGAGCTGCAAGCAGTTATAGCAGTATTCTCTGCTTTCCCTAATCAACCCTTAAACATTTACACCGATAGTGCATACATTGCTCAATCCATACCTAATTTAGAGACAGCTCCCATCATCAAACATACCTCTTCAGCTGCAAAATTATTCAAACAATTACAACAGTTCATCATTAACAGAACTCATCCTTTTTTTATTGGACACCTGCGGGCCCACTCAGGATTGCCTGGACCGCTGTCACAAGGCAATCAACAAGGCCACCTAGCCACCTGCGTTTTTCATACATATGCCACAAAAGCTAAAGACCCACTATCTCAAGCTCAACACACACACAACCTACACCACCTTATTGCTCACTCCCTTAGATTATTACATCATATTACCAGTGAACAAGCTAGACAAATAGTTAAGGAATGCACACAATGTGCCACTCACTTACCCGTACCCCATTTGGGAGTTAACCCTAGGGGCCTAGTCCCTAATGCACTCTGGCAGATGGATGTAACTCATGTTTCAGAATTTGGCAATCTCAAATATGTTCATGTATGCATTGATACCTACAGTGGATATGTGTTTGCCACACTCCAAACTGGAGAAGCCACTAAACACGTCATCAGGCACTTACTATCTGCTTTTGCAACCCTTGGCTGTCCACAAAAAATTGAAACCGATAATGGACCAGGGTATACCAGCACAGCCTTTGCCTGGTTCTGCTCTCAATTAAACATACAACATATAACTGGCATCCCCTATAATCCTCAAGGCCAAGGGATAGTTGAGAGAACCCATCTCACTTTAAAAATTACCTTTGAAAAAACAAAAAAGGGGGAATGGTACCCCATTAAGGGGTCCCCCAGAAACCTCATGGCACATTCACTATTTATACTCAATTTTTTAACTTTAGACAAAAATGGACACTCCGCTGCAGAACGCCATTGGCAATCAGAAACTCAAACAAAATTCGCATCAGTGATGTGGAAAGATCCTATGACTGGCTCCTGGCATGGACCCGACCCCGTATTGATTTGGGGTAGAGGATCAGTCTGTGTATATGCAAAAGAAGCAGATTCAGCCAGATGGCTACCAGAGAGATTATTGAAACAAGTAGACAGTAAAGGAACATCAGGATGTGAGGATAATAATCCCTCCCAGGGAATGTGTTAAGCCCTGAGGATTATTCCCTGTTCCCCCTCTTTCAATCTTTCAGAAACATGTGGACCTTAATATTGATATCCCTGACAATCACTCTCATACCTAAGACCGACAGCAGATTTGGATCACAATATGATATAAGATCAACTTGACTCCCTAGCCGAAGTAGTCCTGCAAAACTGACGAGGCCTAGATCTGCTCACCGCCCAGAAAGGAGGACTGTGCCTTGCATTAGATAAAAAATGCTGCTTTTATGCTAACCGTTCTGATGTTATCAGAGATAAGATAAAAGCCCTGCAAGAAGACCTGGCAAAAAGAAGAAAAGCACTCTTCGATAATCCATTGTGGGGAGGGTTGAATGGGTTCCTCCCCTATATCCTCCCCCTCCTCGGCCCTTTTGTCATTTTCCTCCTACTCCTCACTGTTGGACCTCTTATATTCAACAAGGTCATGGCTTTTGTCAAACAACAGATTGACTCCATAAAAATGCAGCCCCTACAGGTCCATTATCATAAGCTGGAAATAGCCGACAGGGAAATGGAGTTGGATCAAGGTGGAAGCTTGATAAGCACCACCAACCGTTTCTGACATCGCCTGATGAGCTGGACCAGTTAGCCAATGACAGGCAACCTGAGAGCCTAGCAGTAAGATGCTCCAGCCTAAGACAGGGGACCGGGATATGAATCCTGCTCACCCTATGATGGGTAAGGGTAAAAAGCATCACTGCAGGTGTATCTCTTGACCTAAGACAGGCATGGTCCCCACAGGCAATCGGCCACACAAAAATTAAATAAAAAAGGGGAACCTGTGGGGAGCAGTAGCCATCTTGTAACTATGTTGCTTAAGCTTTTGTTCCTCTTACCTAAACCTCCATCTTGTGGGCTTCCCTTATTGTTTAAGTTTCACATTCCTCCTAGTTATGAGGCTAGCCTGCAGCCTCGTCTCCATGGTTACTCTCTGACCTCAGCCCTCAGAACTTCCCACCCTTACTTGTTTATAAGCAACCGCCTTGTAGCTAATAAATGAGACTTGATCAGATCCTTGACTTGTCTCCATTCTCCGCATCTCCTGTCTCTCTCTTTTAATCCCCACTCCCTCCCTAGGGTCTCCGTTGCTCGTCCCGCGGGTCGGGACACAATTGCATCTTTAGTTTCTTCTCCATTCCAGGGGGTAGCATGTATTAAGCCTGTATAAGTGTTCATGGTAACGTGGAGAAATTTAAAGCAACCAAGGGGTGAATATTGAGTAACATTAGTTTGCAAGATAACATTAGGCACCAGACCTCATGGGTTGACATCAAGTCCTAAGGAAAAAAAGAGAGAATGCCATTGGCCATTAGGACGAGTTTTAATAATCATGTGAGCTTGAGCAAATGTCAAATGAAACTGTTGTTCAAGACTGCCAGCATTCTGATGAAAAAAAGCATCATCAGTTTGAGCTTGAAAAAATGCAGCAGAGTCTGCAAACCACATTTGTGGTTGCACCAGAGCATCAGCTAGAGTGTTCCCTGCTGTTGAGGGACCAGGTAACCTAGAATGAGAGCAAATATGGGTGATGTAAAGATGGTGATGACTGGACAGAGGAGCTCTTGTGCTGCAAGAAACAGAGCTAGTAGAGATTCATTAGTAATGTCCTTCACATGTGCAAGATTTAAATGAGTAATGCTGTATACTGCATAAGCAGAATCACTAACTATACTTATGTCTTGGTGAGGAAATGTTTGTAAGGCCAATATTAGGTCACCTAACTCTACCTCTTGCATTTTAAAATGCTCCTGGGTTTTGTGTTGCTAATTTTGCATGGCATCTTGGCACACTGTAGCCATCTTTTCAGTTTTTTTTCTGAACCATCTGTAAAGACAGTGGCATGAAGCAAAGGCTCAGAGACAACAACAGATACAAATTTAATAGACACAGTTTCTAGAAAGTTCAGGAGCTTAGAGGCTGTTAAATGGAAGCTGATATTACCAATAGAGTCAGCCATTGCTACTTGGCAATTAAGATTACAAGCTAAGAGTATGAAATTGTTCCTTGCTTAATGGTAGGAAAAGAGTAACAGGATTATATCTTAGTAACTGGACACAGTGCTGGTGCCCCTTTGTGAGAAGAGAAACCATTAAATCTGTGGTCTTTTGTATATGTTTTGAGGGGTTATGAGACAGGTAAATAGCACATAAAATACAGAAATGGCAAAAGATAAAGCCTGTTGAACTAAGGCATGGAAGGGATGGGTATTTTAAGTGATTTTTACCATATTTTGGCCCTTGAAAGTTATTAGAATATGACTGCAAGTTGTGAGGATAATAAACCTGCATTGAGTTAGCTTAAGTGTGCAAAAAAAAGAAGAAAAAACTTGTTTTAAAAGTCTTTAGGTGCTGGCTATTTACTTGCATTAGCCCTCAGCTGGAATGTCTTAGAACTGAGCTTGGGAAAGTAGAGTCATGGCCAGTTTCTTCCCATCTGCTCCAGGCTCCTTAAGCAGCCTCTTTTCTTAACAGCCTGATACCTGTTGCTGCTCTCGCCCTGAGAGGAAGGAAGGAAGACTACAAGTAGCAGCAAGAGGCCAGAAAATGACCAGGTGGTGAAGTATATGTATGTAAGTGCAGAGACTGAAGGCAAGAGAGTAACAGGCTTGGAGAAAAGCAGTCCCCGCGTCCTCCAGACCACATACACTTGGAGCCAAGCCTGTAAGGTAAGGTCCTGAAAATATACTGGGCTTTTTATTGTTTTTACCACCCCCAAGTAGAGAGGCCCAGGAGAGGAGCAGATATGCGGCACAGGGTCTTCTTTGAAGTTTCCCAGCCACGGTGTTTTTAAACATTTTATTTAAAAAAAGAAACATTGCTCATTGCTGCATTGATTTTCTGAAGACAACAGCAGCTGGTAGAGCTCGTCCACCTTTAGCATGTAACATGTGGCTACGGGAGACCCCCTCGTTAGCAGGCTTCTCTCCCAGAGCTCGGTACTCTAGGCTGCTCCACACCTCTGTGCCCACCTTAGGCTAGTAAGGTTGGGGTGCATGTGGACTGTTTCTTAGCCCTTCCCTTAGGGATCCAGGGAAGACGAGGAATTGATTTTCAGCTGAGACATGCGAGGGGTAGCAGGGAAGGTATAAGTAGGAAAAGCAGTAGCACAGCAAGCAGCAGCCACTTTCTGGGCATGGTTACTAAGGCAAGTGACCATGGTGAAGAGAATTCTAAGGACCAGGCTGGAGCTGACTGCAGCTAGCTGGGAACCTGGTCTTGCCTCTTGGCCTCCCCTCTGTCACCACAAACCCAGAAAGGGGCAACATGCCTAGGCTGCCAGTGACCAAATGGGCACTCCATGGCATCTTAGCAACTCTCCTGCCCCAGGCTTCTGTGGGTGGCAAGAAAGCCAGAGCTTTCTGGGATAAAATTCAGAAGGCAGCATGCAACTTTCCCTTATACTCCAGGGAAACAGAAAGAAGACAAGACCAGAAAGGCTGATGCTAGATGTAAGAAGTGAGAACTTGCATATTAGAAAGACAATCATAATTAGCCACTTTCTTTCCCTCCTGGAAGCACCGCTCCAGCACGGGAGTTTGTCAAGGAGACGCAGCCACTGAATCATATAGACATTTGCTGCCCAGTGTCTTATCCAAGAACAATCACTGCCTTCAATCTCCTTAAGGAGGAAAAGAGGTGCTGCTGCCTGAACAAGGCCAACAGATGCAGGTCCCTTTAAGGGTAGAGGAAAAGAGGGCAATAGCTTTTCTATTGGGGGAGGACAAGGCTGCTGTCAGTCCTTATCCTCACTAGAAAAAGCCTCTTTCTTATTCCCCATAGAAGGGAATGATATGGGGAGAGAAGTGTCTTCCTGTTGCTCTGGTTTCTATTTTTCCTTCTTCTTTAAATCTCCTGAATTACCTTCAAGTGGAGAAGATGGGCAGTTTGACTCACCACAGTCTGGCAGATAAAGAGAATACAACGCAGAGCGTACCAGCACCCAGGTGGTCAAAATGTAACATTAGTAGAATGACCTTGCTCATATCCTCTTTTCAGGCAGTGACCTACCTGCTCCCATAACTCTAAATCTAAGGTTCCTTGATCAGAAAACCAGTGGCATTCCCACTGAATGAAGAGCATAAGCTGGTGTGGAGCCCCAGGCTCTGCAGTTCACTGAATAGCCTTAAGTAGCTGTTGTACTGTTTTAAAAAATACTTTCTGCTCTTTGGTCATTTCTTGATCCATAATAATCTAGCCCCTGATATTTTATGTGTGTGTCCCACCCTCCTGATGGGAGTCAGGACTGTTTCTTATCAGAATTCCCTAAAAATTGATGAGCTCTTCACCTTCATGTGTAAATTTAAGGTGATCATGTCAGGGGCACCAGTTGCAGAGCTTATGGCTTGCAGTGAATGCCAAGAACAAAGTACTCAGACAGTTCCAGCTGAGCAGGAATAGAGGGTAGCTCTTCTGAGAGTCTGCCCCAGCATCCATCCACCAAGTATTTGTTGAAAGGGCTCGTATTAACTATAGACATCCACTAGGTGGTCATTTGAGGTGGGTTGCTGAGGTACCTGTGACCTTGTACACGTTCAAACTGCATTCTCAGGAGGCTGTTTTCACCATTCCTTATCACACCACACACTCCACTCCCTGTCCTGTTTTCAGAGCCACGGAGTTTCATTCCCATGCACAACATATACAGTGCTTCAGTATTTTTCTATGCCCGACCTCAAATACCTTGAACATAAGCTTGAATATGTTGCTGTGTACCCCCTACACTTTGGGAGGCCGAGGGGAGGCGGATCATGAGGTCAAGAGACTGACATCATACTGGCCAACAGGTGAAACCCTGTCTCTACTAAAAAAGTTAGCTGGGTGTGGCAGCATGCGCCTGTGGTCCCATCTACTAGGGAGGCTGAGGCAGGAGAATCGCTTGAACCCAGGAGGTGGAGTTGCAGTGAGCAGAGATCATGGCACTGCACTCCAGCCTGATGACAGAGCAAGACTCCATTTAAACACACACAAACAAAAAGCCAATCTCATAGAAACAGAGTGGAATAGTGGTTACCAGAGGGCCAGGGTGGGGTTGGGGGTAGGTTGGGAGAATTGGAAATGAGAAGAGGTTAGTGAACAGGTACAGGATTGCAGCTAGTTTGAAGAAATAATGTCTGGTGTCCTATTGCACAGTAGAGTGACTATATTTAACAATACTGTGTATTTCAAAATAATAAGAAGGTTTTAAATGTTCTTACTACAAAGAAATTATAAATGTTTGAGGTGATGGTAAGGCAATTACCCTGATTTGATCATTTCACGATGTATTCATGTATTGAAAGATTATACTGTGTCCCATAAGTATCCACAATTATGAGTCAAAAATAAAATGTAAGAAATTCCTGTCTTTGGAAATTACTGTTTTTTTCTTTTTCTTTTTTGAGATGGAGTCTTGCTCTGTCACCCAGGCTGGAGTGCAGTGGCTTGATTGTGGCTCACTATGACCTCCACCTCCTGGGTTCAAGCAATTCTCCTGTCTCAGTCTCCAGAATAGCTGGGATTATAGGCACCTGCCACCACACCTGGCTAATTTTTATATTTTTAGCAGAGATGGGATTTCACCATGTTGGCCAGGCTGGTCTCAAACTCCTGACCTCAGGGTTCCACCCGCCTTGGCCTCTCACAGTGCTGGGATTACAGGCATGAGCTACCACACTCAACTTGGAAATTACTATTTAAAGCTATGGGTTATCTATCTACTTATTTGTTGTCCCTGTTTGACTTGTAGACTTTGGTACAGACTGAAGTATAAAATTCCTGTTGTTAACTGTATAATAACCTGTTTTGTTTTGTTTTTGAGATGGAGTTTCGCTGTTGTTGCCCAGGCTAGAGTGAAATGGCATGATCTCTGCTCACCTCAACCTCTGCCTCTTGGGTTCAAGTGATTCTCCTGCCTCAGCCTACTGAGTAGCTGGGACTATAGGCACGCACCACCATTCATGGCTTATTTTGTATTTTTAGTAGAGATGGTTTTCTCCATGTTGGTCAGGCTGGTCTCAAACTTCCAACCTCAGGTGATCTGCCCGCCTTGGCCTCCCAAAGTGCTGGGATTACAGGAGTGAGCTACCACACCTGGCTAAAAACCTGTTATTAATAAACAAACTCAAAACAATACCAAAACAAAAGTTTCTTTATTATGAAGGCCTCTCTTTAAAAAGCAATTAGTAGAAACAAACATGATACTGTATCCCAGAATATTAGCATCACTTCCAGAAAATTACTCCTAGTTTCACAGTAGTTTACTGGGTTCCATGGTTTTGGGGAATAGAAAAGCGGGTAGTACCTGATATACCTGTATTCGGTTTTTTCTTTCTAGTGTATCCTCCTTTTATGGGTTGAAAGTGTCCCCTCGAAATATGTTAAAAAGTTCTAACATATGTTAAAAGTACTTGCGCATATGACTTTATTTGGAAAATAGGGTTTGCAGATGATCAAGTTAAGATGAGGTCATTAGGGTGAGCCCTAATCTAATATAATTGAGTCCTTACAGAAAGAGGAAATTTTGTCATAGAAGCTCTCCCTTAGAGAAGACAATGTGGATACACAGGGATAAGGCCACCTGTTTAATACCAGCCAATGGACATTTGAGAAACTAAGAACTCTTTCAAAAAATCAAAATGCCAGTTGTTTATTTTGAGACAGAGTCTCGCTCTGTCACCCCGGCTGGAGTGCAGTGGCACAATCTTGTCTCATGGCAATCTCTGCCTCCCAGGTTTAAGCGATTCTCGTGCCTCAGGGGCCTCTTGGGTAGCTGGGATTACAGGTGCATGCCACTGTGTCCAGGTAATTTTATTTATGTATTTATTTATTTATTTGGTAAGTAGGGATGGGATTTTACTGTGTTGGCTAGGCTGTTCTTGAACTCCTCCTGGCCTCAAGTGATCAGACTGCCTCAACTTCTCAAAGTGCTGGGATTATGGACATGAGCCACCACACTTGATCACATGCTGGTTTTCCGAGAGTCTGTTTACTTTTTGGTTTCCTGCATATACTCCAACGTCCACACCTTCTACCTGCCCACCATGTTCTCACTTCTGTTTAAATCAGATTTTGATTTTCTGAACATCTGAATGTTGAGTTTACTGGTGTCCTGGAATACATTGCAAATGATTCCTACTTACTTTTCACTGACACTATGTTTCCTTTCACTGGGTAGGTTCTGCTTGCTTAAATTTTTTAGGTGAAGGTACCCTCAGCACTTTAGAAGACATATGAATTCAAAATATAATTATTTTTAGGAGAGTACATATAAGTACTCTGAACCATGGAGTTCTATTACATGGAAGCTTTAATTATAATTACCAGTTTTACATGATACATGCAGTTATCTATGTACTATGATTCCTATCTCCTCCCTTACTGTGAAAGGGCTGGTTAATTGAGGAGAATGTGAAGGTCATTCCACCACAAAATACTCTTAACTCAAGAGCATTGAAGCATTAACAAGATTTATTCTGATTATCGGTGTTTTTTTAATGCATCTCTTTTCATTATCTGATTCACATTTCTCACCAGTGATGTCAGTCTAAATGGTTGAATATTCTGAGTGTAGTAAATGTAACAACACAGCACCTTAATCTCACAATAGGGTTTTTTTTTTGGTCTTAATTTTATCCTATTTTATCGTTGTCTATTTTGGAATATGGATCAGTAGCTTTTTTTGTTTTTGAGACAGAGTCTTGCTGCTCTGTTGAGCAGGCTGGAGTGCAATGGGATGATCACAGGTTACATCAGCAGCCTCAATTTCCTGGGGCAAGTAGATTCTCCCACCTCAGCCTCCTGAGTAGCTAGGACTAGAGGCATGAGCCACACCTGGCTATATCTTACATTTTTGGTAGAGATGGGGTCTCACTATGTTGCCCAGTCTGGTATCAAACTCCTGAGTTCAAGCAATCCTCACACCTTGGCCTCCCAAGGTGCCAAGATTTCAAGTGTGAGCATTACTTCCAGCCAGCTGCTTCCATACAATAGGATTTGTTCTTACCATGTTTCCTAATGTGCTTTGTGCTATTTCCTACTGTTCCAGGACACAAAAGTAAAAAAAATATTTTTATATATTTGCAGGTATATAATGTATAATGTTCAAATACATATATATATTGCGTTTGATGTCTGAGTCCAGAGTTATACCTGAAGTTTTTATTAGTTTAACCATTATAATTGGCATCTTCCTGCTGTCAGATTTACTCTAATGAAGAAATAGATTCCTGTTTATTGTATTGAAGGAAGGGTGCATTGAATGATGGCTAGCTTTTGAAATGAAAATCTCAAGAGATAGTAATCCAATTTATTATGGGATTTGATATGTTTGATGGAGGGGACAGAAAATACTTTTAGGGGTTAGGGTCCTAATTTTTGGGGTTAGGGTCTTAGAGGGAGGACTTCACCTTCAAGATCCCCTGTGGACCAATTCCAGATATTGGAAACAGACATGTGGGAGATCTTTGGAGTCCTGTGTGGACTTGTGACCTCCTATCCTAAGTCCGGTCATAAATTTTTTAGCATTCTTGAATTGTACAGTGAGAAATGAGGGGCCTTGGTCAAATGTTTCTCCTTTGTGCCATGGTATACTTTGGGCATATCTTTAACTTTGCATTGACTGTAAGGCTCTTCATTTTAGCTTTGTAGATGAGAGTGTGGTGCTTAATTTCAAATTCTGTCTCTGCTATCTTCTAGCTGTGTGAGCCCGGGTGAATTACTTATCTTTCTGAGTTTTTGTTTTCTAATGTGTAGAATGAGAATAATAAAGTGCCCAATTCACAGTGTGATTGTAAGAATGAAATAAGATACACTTAATAATGACACTTCAGGATAACAGTATGTGGTAAGCACTGAGTCAATGACATCTATTACTATGACCTCTTTACTTGTGTTGCTCATGAATTCATGTTGTATTTGCAGAGCTTGGCTGCAACCCTCTGAGGAACTGTTAAACTGAACTGATTGATCAGAGTTTGGTCACATAGTGCCCACATTATACAGAGCCAAGGAACCAGTTAGGTTTGGCCATGTTGGTGGATCACTTAAATTCATGTCACTGGCCGTGAAGGACCTTGAACAAAAGCATTTCCTTGGTTCACTGCAAACCTATCACTAGTGTTAGAAAAACAACCTATGCACATGTGAGTTAGAGGCATCATCTCTGTGGAGGAAGCATCATTGCAGTTATTTATTGACTTTTGGCTGTGCTATATTTTATATAATAATGCTTTAATGTTTTAGTCAAAATGAAAATATATTTAAGTGAACTAAAGCACACACTGAATTGCTAAAAAGTTATATGACAGAAGAGTGTTGTAATGACATTTTTATAAGTCAGTATTTATTGCATGTCAATAAAATTCTGGACTATTCTAGTTGAACAGGAAGAGACTAGTTCATTAAAAGCCCATTACCCTAAGCTAGGTGTTAATAATCTCTTTGTCTGTGTTAGTATTACAATATGTGGCATAATGCCAGGCAAGCTTGGAATACAAAAGTTCAGGGTTATATAAGTGTTCTGGCATGCATAACTGTTTGAGCAAGACACTTGGAATTCTAGCTTGTCCAGCAGTTTAACTAGGCTGTGCAAACAATAGGGGTGAGAACATAGCAAAATGCCCCTATTTCAATGATTCTTAATACAGCTGTCTTTTAATGGCTTTCTCATAAATTGTTCAGTCCTGAGAGTCCCATATCTTTTTCCTGTCAATAGTTTACTATCTTTACACAAGGCAACTTGCTAAGTGTCTTAAGAGGTGGTGACATTTTTTTAAGTTATCTGAAGAAAACTACCTTTTTTTCTCATTAGTTTTTATATAAAAATTAGTCCTTAAGTTGGTATATAATGTATAGGTACTTTTGGGACACTAAATAGTCATTAAAATGCAAAAAAAAAAAAAGCAGTTAGCTTTTAAGAACAATGTCTCACTTTCTTAACATAGAGCAGACCCTTCTTAATCACTGCCAACTTTCTGCTAATCTGATAGATATGCAAGGATTCTGTTCTGAAGAGAAAAATAGCTAGTGGTTCATTGACAGTTGACTCTGGGCCAGAGTCTGACCTAAGCATGTATATATATTAACTCACTAAATATGTGTATTAACTTACCACCTTGAGGTAGGTAATTTTATCTTTTCCATTTTACAAATTAGAAAACCAAGGCCCACAGAGATCAGATAACTTGCTTTAGTAAGTGGTTGAACAGGATTCAAATACAGGCTAATTGGGCCAGGTGTGGTGGCTCCTGCCTATCAGCCCAGCATTTTGGTAGGCCGAGGCAGGTGGATCACCTGAGGTCAGGAGTTTGAGACCAGCCTGGCCAACATGGCAAGATCTTGTCCCTATTAAAAATATAAAAATTAGCTGGGATTGGTGGCATGTGCCTGTAATCCCAACTATTTGGGAAGCTGAGGCAGGAGAATTGCTTGAACCCGGGAGGTGGAGGTTGCATTGAGCTGAGATCTCCCTCCAGCCTGGGAGACAGAGACCAAAAAAAAAAAAATCCAAGAAAACAAATAGGCTAATTGGCTCCAGTAACAGAGTTCTTCAACACTAAACTATTTATGTTTTGGATGCCAAAAAAGACTTTGCAAACATCAATTGAGAACATTCTAGATATAATTTTTTCCTAATATTTAAAAAAGGGAGAAAAAGAAAATGATAAATTTAGAATAGATTTTTTTCTTACCCAAAAACATCTCATGGAAAACACATGTCAAAAAGGCTTTTGGAACACTGTTTGCTTTTTTGGGCTTTCACGCTTCATGTCTTGGTGAAAGGACAAAGTTCTGAGTTAGGAGGTTCTGGTTCCAGCCTCTGTTGTGAATAGTTGTATCACATTGGCTAAGTCACTCTTTCTCTTTGGACTCTTTTTTCCAAGTGAAATATTAATGTACTGTTATTAATCTGACATAATTACTGGGAGAATCAGAACTGATAGGAAATGATTTAAAAATACCAAGTAGTGTAGAAATATAAAGTGGTATTTATAGTTGTTTATTATCACTAGCCACATATGGGATCATGTCACCTCAGACTTAGAAAAAGTGTTAGTCACTTAGTAACAGGGCATAGTGGCGGGGTGGAAAGAGCTATAACATTTGTCCTGCATTAAAAATCTCTTCTCAGCCACTTATTTACTTAATAATCTTGGGCTGCTGATCCAGCTTCTCTGAGTCTCAGCTTTATTTGTAAAAGAGAGAGGATTATATTTTCTTTCCAGGGGTATGAGGATTAAGTGTAGTGTCCTGTCACATGCTCTCTCAGAAAATCCTCAGACAGCCTAAAAGAAAACAAAACAAGGCCCAAAACAGCCTGCCAACTGAAATCAATACAAGTAGCAAAAATTACACACATTTTGAAGATAAATGGAAGTCAATAAAAATTTGCTAAGTATTACTATAATAAGTGTTTCAAGTATTCTTACTAGAGGAACATGTGAAAGGTATGAGATGTCAATGGCATCTTTATGTTTTACCTGCAGCCCTGTTTTGGCTAAGTATCTTTATAAAAACGTAGCAATTCTATGCTAACTACTTGTAACTTTTAGAAGATGACAATACCACAAAATCTGATGGTTTATAATTTCTTTAGGTTTATCTATCTACACAACTTGTGAGTGGTGGCAGTGTGGTAGGCAGAAGGACTCACTGAAGATATCCATGTCCTAATCCCCAGAACCTGTCAATATGTTATGCTGTATGCCAAGGAGAAATTAGGGTTGCAGGTGGCATTAGGATTGCTATCAGCTGAGCTTAAAATAGGGCGCATATGTTGGGTTATACAGGTGGGCCCAATGTAATCACAAGGGTTCTAAAACATAGGGAGGTAGAAGAGAGAGATCCAGAGTGATGGCACCATCTGAAGGACTTGGCCTAACGTTGCTGTCTTCGAGGAATAAGAAAGGGGTTTATGAGCCAAGGAATGAAAGAAGCCACCAGAAACTGTAAAAGGCATGGTTAACGATTCTTCCCTGGAGTTTCCAGAAAGGAGTGCAGCCCTGCCAACGCCTTAATTTTAGCGTTATGAGATCCATTTTGGACTTCTGAATGACAGAACTGTAAGATAATGCATTTGTGCTATTTGAAGCCACTGAATTTTGTGAATTTGTTAGAGCAGCCATAGAATTAGTACAGGCAGTTTTGTTTTCAACCTTTTTATTTTACTTTTCTAATTACATTGGCTAATTGCATTATTTGCATTGGCTAATTGCATATTCTAATTGTATTGTTGCTTCTATTAAATATACTATTAATATTTAATAGTATAATTAATTAGACTAATATTGCTTCTATTAATTTAATAGAAGAAATAGTGTTAAATGTTCTTGTTTTTCATTTTAATAGAAATGTTCCTTTTTGCTAATAAGAAATGTTTGCTATAGATTTTTAATATATTCATCCCTATGTCAGGTTAAAACTGCATTGTATTTCATCTTTTAAAATCCAAGAATACCTATTAAATTTTAACAAATATTATCTTAATTTCCCCTTTCTTGTATATTTCTTATCCTATTTTTGTACCTGAAATAGTATAATTAGGCTTTTTCCTTTCTGACATTTTGGGAAAAGATAACTAGTCAGAGAGTAGAGTACTCTTTAAAAATTAATGAATATTTTAGCCTTAAAAGTAGAAAACAAACTTTATTGTTTTTGAGTTCTCAGAGCAGTACCAAAATTTCTAGATGAATTAAAGAAGAAAGTGAGAGCTAATTGTGGCAGTAAACTGTAGACAGTAAGTTGTGGGCAGTAAATCTACAACAGTAAAAAATGTGTAGCTAAAACTATCTAATGGGAAGTTCTATAGTCAAACATCTTTTTTGAGACACAGTTTAGCTCTTGTTGCTCAGGAGGAGTGGAATGTGTGATCTCGACTCACTGCAACCTCTACCTCCCAGGTGGAGCGATTCTCCTGCTTCACTGACCTCAGGTGATTCCCCTGCCTTGGCCTCCCAAAGTGCTGGGATTATAGGCATGAGCCACCACACCTGGCCTGTATTTTTTTTTTTTAGTAGAGATGAGGTTTCACCATGTGGGCCAGGCTGGTCTCAAACTCCTGACCTCAGGTGATCTACCCTTGGCCTCCCAAAGTGCTGGGATCATAGGCATGAGCTACCACACCAAGCTGAGTCAAACATCTGTATCCTATTTTTTGTTATCCCCTGCTTTTATGTTTGTTTTAAGGTAGACGGAATAGTATAGGACATTCCATAATTATTCAATGTCAAGATGGCTAAGATATTTGGTACTTTGTCCATTTACTAAATATCTCAACCATAGATGAGGTCAACAATTATTTCCTCCACAGTTTGACCCTTTCAGAACTCCTGTCTTCTCAGCCAGTGACTTGATATATTTGTCCATTATAAATATGACTCACTTTCTTTCATTGTTTCTGTATTCCAACCTTATTTTTAATTTGTAAGTACCAACTCATAATTTGGAAAAGCTTATATCTACTTGACTGCCTTTTATGTAGTCTACTGTAAAACATTTTCCAGATGGGACTTGATTACTTGAGAACTTGTCATTGCCTGTGAATGATGGATTTGGTGGATACTGAAAGCAGGCTTCAATTCAAGCTAATAAGTGAATCCTGGTGCATTTAAGGGTGGAGCTATAAGGGGGAATTGAGGGTTGAGTGCAGTGGAGATGAAGAGGAAGGAAGAGTGGAAAAGAATGCCAGAGTAAGGAGTTACTGGGGAAGACAGCTCTGAATAGTCACTCCTTGGAACAACTCCTGTGATAGGAATGTGAGTTGAGCAATAAGGCTCTGCATACCTCAGTTATGGCAAGTTTTGACTG